ATAGAAAACAAATTCACATCCATATCAGATATGTGACCGAAAGTCATAACTCACATCTCCGTTCACTCCTTCATCTGCGTCTGTAGCACTTACTTTAATCACTATGTATCTAAAGGAGAGTTTTAGGCAGACTGGCTTTATAACGGCCTGACTGAACACTGGGGCGTTATCATTAGCATCCAGTACAGTGACGTGTATGACTACAGTGCCTGATCTCTGAGGAGAGCCTCCATCTAAAGCTGTGAGGAGCAAATTGATCTCCTTCTGTTTCTCTCGATCAAGTTTTTCCAGCACGAGTTCAACCTTATTGTTGTCCACTGATAAAATGAAATGGTCATTCTTTTGGAGGTTGTACCTTTGAACAGCATTTTGACCAATATCTGCGTCATGGGCCTCCTCGATAGAAAAGCGGTTTCCCTTTTCAGCTGAACTCTGTATTTCCATCTCAACAATTCTCGGTGAATTGTGGCGAGTTGTCGTTAACATCTTGAACATGAATACTGAACACGATGAAGCTCCAGAGGATTTTCTAACACCAGATCTACTTTAACAACACACGAGGGTTTCTTGCACAAAGGCTTTCTCTGTCCATTCTCTCCGATGTGATCAAATCTCCGGTATTCAGATTGATGTCACAGTACCTTTTCCGAGTTCCCTCAAAATCCAAACGGGCCTGTCGAGAAACAAAGGTCCTAAGATCAAGACCGAGATCTTTGGCTACATTCCCAATGACAGTCCCGCGTTTCATCTCTTCTGGTGTGGAATAACTCAGGTCTCCATTAACGAGGTGCAACGTTACAAAGAAGGATGTGAAGAAGAAGATCGGACGAAGCAGTGAAAATCCTTTGTCTGTCATCCTGACACAAAACGCGCATTCGGACGTCGCAACTTCTTGTTAGGAGCGATTCAACACATATATCCACAAAAAAGGTCAAAGACTCAATACTGCAAATGATGCCTCGTGCTCATAAACCTATGTTTGCGGATTCAACCCCCCCTGGAAAATACAACTGATATTCATTTGGGTTAGTGGGTGGACTTGTTCGTGTTAAGTTTCTGTCAGCCAATAGCGACACCATGAGTCGCTTTTTATCTCTACACTCTTATGTGATGATATTTTCTGCACTCAGTCCATGAAAACAACAACGACATATTAACTAAAGAACAGAAGCCCAATAAAACAATATATTTCAAATTATTATTGTAAAAGCGCTAAAAGCAAGATACAAACTTGAAGATGAGGGAGACAATCGAATGCAATAACAGCATGTAATCTTGTGCTCATCACTTTAAAACTTATTCACTTTAATGTAAACACTTCATGTCATGATCAAAACATTAGCTTGCAGCTACAACTTAATAAAGATGCAATATCAGCACCATGGACAGCGAAAAGATGAAGTCATTTTAAATGCTTATTTAAAGGTTAGAACCATATTTACAGTGTATGGTTAGAACACGTATCTAAAGAATTTCAGTTTGAAGTGTAAGGCCTACAATAGTCTTCATAAGTGTAAAACTATGCACAGCAAAGTATCTTTAAAATTGTGAAACGTGTTTCTTTCTGGAGGAAACCAACACATAATATTATTATACCTACATTTAATGACAGATAATAATAATGCATAAATGATCAAGAAGATCTTCACTATTCAAACTCCATTTTTTTACTTGGATGTCACTAACAAATACAAAGTTTTATATTGAAGATCAGAGGTTACAAACCTTGAACTTTGCCCCCTCCATAGGGTCGATCAAACGGAGGTGATACAATTATTGTGAAAGAGAACACAAGAAAAACTTCTGTCATGCTAGTTGATTTATTTTTCTATTTCCACTGAGTCTATCTCTGATTTAATTACCATGAGTGTTTCGCTAAATTATAGATTGTTTTATTTTTCTGAGCCAATAACAGATGTACAAATTAACCATCTATAAAATTGAGAAGGAATATCTCTCAGTGGATCAAGTGCTAAAAACTCGTAATCTAAAACCTGTTAAAAATGCTCAATCTTAACAGCAAACAATACATTGCACAACTATTTTTCTTATTGCAGAGAATATAAATGTAATACTTATTACATCTATCAAAAAGTCTCTTTAATTTGTAAGGGACAGGAAATTAATTTCTCCATCACTGCCTAAGTTTTCTGAGAAACAAACGCAGGCAGAAACAACTCACTGGTCTTTATCTACCGTGAGATTCTAGTTTCCAAAGCAATAAATATTTTCTCCATTCAAGTACGTCAATATGTATCCATTTGTACAACCACTTATTCAAATATCTTAATTACTTTTTGGCATGAGTGTTCATGTGTACCTTTATGAAAGAAGACCAAAATACAGGATCCATCTAAAACGGCTTTTAACAACAGAGTGGAAGTGACACAAACCTAAATACATTTCATGAGCTAGTTAGAAACGAAAGGAAAAGCAACAACATCACTTTAAATGTTTCAGGCGCATTTAAAAATAATTTAACACCAAGTGAAGGAACATTGCTGCTGCCATAAACAAGAGTTAAACAGCTGGTCAAGCAAGACAAACTCAATACAATAAAACTACTCTAAAAGGTCCTACCTCTAATGAAGTATCGAGGTCTTCAAAGGTCAGCAAAGTCTGTCGGCTTTTCCTCAGAGTCTGGTCAGCAGGCAGTGTGTTGTCATTGTAAGATGACACAAACTTAAAGTCACTGGTTCGAGACCCTGTTGTCAGGTAGGCGTCATAATTGTAAGCGCTGCGTAAAGTCCCTGTGCCGTCAACATCTGCGTAATTAGGAGGAAGATAAGCGCTGGGATGGCGACTGCTCCGTCAAACAACAGTCTGGGCTTTCTCCTGCGACAAAACCTCACACCCATGATGATGATGATGAAGGTCAGAAAAAAGGTGGACACACACACCAGCGCGATGATCAGATAAGAGGTCAGTTTGGAGTTCTTCTCATCATAAGAAATGTCCTTCAGTTCTGGCACCTCAGCCAAGTTATCAGAAATCAGTAAATACATGGAACAGGTGGCAGACAGAGAGGGCTGTCCGTTATCTTTCACTGACACAATAAGGTTCTGTTTCATGCTGTCAGACTCAGAAATGTCCCGCTGGTCCTGATCTCTCCGCTGTGGACACCAATAGTGAAAAGTCCCGGATCAGTGGATTTCACTATATGATAGGACAGCCAGGCATTCTGTCCGGAGTCCGCGTCCACCGCTATCACTTTGGACACCAGAGAGCCTCCGTGTGCAGCTTTGGGGACCAGCTCGGTCATGAAGGAGTTGCCCTCCGGGGCGGGGTACAGTATCTGAGGAGAGTTATCATTCACATCCGATATGAACACACTCACGGTCACGTTGCTGCTGAGCGGAGGAGAACCGTTGTCTCTGGCCATCACGTGCACTTTAAAGCTCCTGAACTGTTCATAATCAAACGACCTCACAGCGTGGATCACCCCCGTGTCTCCGTTCACTGACACATAGGAGGACACCGGGGCACCGTTCACCTCACCGGATAACAGAGAATAAACCACTGTACCGTTCTGTCTCCAGTCGGGGTCTCGAGCACTAACGGAACATAAAGTGGAGCCAGGTTTGTTATTTTCACTCACATATGCGCTGTACGACTGTTCCTCAAACACAGGTGGGTTGTCGTTGATGTCTGCTACAGATAACTGAACAGTTTTAGAGGAGGACAGAGGTGGAGAGCCCTCGTCAGTGGCAGTGATTGTAATGTTGTAATCAGACACTAGTTCACGGTCCAGTTGTCCTGTGCTCACCACAGAATAATAGTTTTTAATAGAAGGAACCAACTTAAAAGGGACATTTTGCTGAATGGAGCAGCGGACCTGACCGTTAATCTCTGAGTCTCTATCCTGCACGTTAATGATGCCCACCTCTGTACCAGGTGACACGTTCTCAGGTATGGGGTTAGTCAGTGATTTCAGGTATATCACTGGAGCATTGTCATTCACATCACTAACATCTATTATAACTTTGGCGTATGAGATAAGACCTAAACCATCTTTAGCTTGCACTCTCATTTCAAAGGAATTACTTTCCTCAAAGTCAATCACACCAGTTACTTTAATTTCTCCAGATTTTGGATTAAATACAAAATAAATTTACATACATATCAGACACGTGACCAAAGTCATATGTCACATCTCCATTGACTCCTTCATCTGCGTCTGTAGCACTTACTTTAATCACTATGGTATCTAAAGGGGAGTTTTCAGGCAGACTGGCTTTATAGACGGCCTGACTGAACACTGGGGCGTTATCATTAGCATCCAGTACAGTGACGTGTATGACTACAGTACCTGATCTCTGAGGAGAGCCTCCATCTAAAGCTGTGAGGAGCAAATTGATCTCCTTCTGTTTCTCTCGATCGAGTTTATTATCCAGCACGAGTTCAACCCTATTGTTGTCCACTGATAAAATGAAATGGTCATTTTTTTGGAGGTTGTACCTTTGAACAGCATTTTGACCAATATCTGCGTCATGGGCCTCCTCGATAGAAAAAGCGGTTTCCCTTTTCAGCCAACTCGTGTATTTCCATCGCAATCAAATTCTCTCTGAATTTTGGCGAGTTGTCGTTAACATCTTGAACATGAATACTAACACGATGAAGCTCCAGAGGATTTTCTAACACCAGATCTACTTTAACAACACACGAGGGTTTCTTGTCACAAAGGCTTTCTCTGTCCATTCTCTCCGATGTGATCAAATCTCCGGTATTCAGATTGATGTCACAGTACCTTTTCCGAGTTCCCTCAAAATCCAAACGGGCCTGTCTAGAAACAAAAGTCCTTAGATCAAGACCGAGATCTTTGGCTACATTCCCAATGACAGACCCGCGTTTCATCTCTTCTGGTATGGAATAACTCAGGTCTCCATGAACGAGGTGCAACGTTACAAAGAAGGATGTGAAGAAGAAGATCGGACGAAGCAGTGAAAATCCTTTGTCTGTCATCCTGACACAAAACGTGCCTACGGACTTCGCAACTTCTTGTTTGGAGCGATTCAACACATATATCCCACAAAAAAGGTCAAAGACTCAATACTGCAAATGATGCCTCGGTGCTCATAAACCTATGTTTGCGGATTCAACCCTCCCTGGAAAAATACAACTGATATTCATTTGGTGTTAGTGGTGGACTTGTTCGTGTTTAGTTTCTGTCAGCCAATAGCGACACCATGAGTCGCTTTTTATCTCTACACTCTTATGTTATGATATTTTCTGCACTCAGTCCATGAAAACCCAACGACATATTAACTAAAGAACAGAAGCCCAATAAACAATATATTTCAAATTATTATTGTATAAAAGCGTTAAAAGCAAGATACAAACTTAGAAGATGAGGGAGACAATCGAATGCAATAACAAAATGTAATCTTGTCCTCATCACTTTAAAACTTACTCAACTTTAATGCCAACACTTCATGTCATGATCAAAACATTAGCTTGCAGCTACAGCTTAACAGAGATGCAATATTCAGCACCATGGACAGCGGAAGGAGATGAAGTCATTTCAAATGCTTATTTAAAAGTTAGAACACATATCTAAAAAATGTTCCGTTTGAAGTGTAAGGCCTACAATAGTCTTCATAACTTTAAAAATATGAAATTAAAATAACTTAAAATTGTGAAAAGTTTTGTTCTTTCTGGAGAAAACAAACACATAATATAGTATTATACCTACATGAAATGACAGGTAAAATAATAATTCATAAATGATCAAGAAGATCTTCACTATTAAAACTTATTCTTTTTTTAGTTGGATGCCACTAACAAATACAAAGTTTTTAAGTCAATGGAAGAGGTTACAAACCTTGAACTTTGCCCCCTCCATAGGGTCGATCAAACGGAGGGGTTATACAATTATTGTGGAAGAGAACACAAGAAAAACTTCTGTCATGCTAGTTGATTTAATTTTCTATTTCTACCAAAGTCTACAATTTGATTTTCTTAACATGAGTGAATTGTCTAAATAGATTTGTTTTATTTTCCTGAGCCAATAACAGATGTACAAATTAACCATCTATAAAATTGAGAGGGAATATCTCTCAGTGGATCAAGTGCTAAAAATTCTTAATCTAAAACCTGTTAAAATGCTCAATCAAACACTACTTTTTTGTAACGAGTCACAAGTCAGAAAGGCTGTGAGCCACTGATTCTATATCAACACTTACAAGCAAAATGTTCATGAGATTGTAATTTTTAAAACTTATAATGTTTACTGTTATATAATGGAGTTGAAAATAAAAAATGTCTCAGAAATTTAGAAAGTGGAAATATATATTTAAAAAACATTCAAAGTCTCTATGAATCTTACACAGAAACTTTGCTTGAGGAAGTTCATTTAAAACCTTTGAGTTATGTTGAATGATTTAACTCCAGCTTCATCAAAGACACTCGTGATTGAAAACAAAACATATTGTTGAGCTGCTGTTTAAGAATTCCAAAACACCTTTATGGATGAAACTAAACATACCAATAACATAATATAACACTTCAACAGAACTGTGGGTGAGTACGAAATAAAAAGAGAAAACAGTCAGGAGAATAACCACAATTCAAAATTGATTTTTGTGATTTTTAAAAGAGGACTATATTTATTCTAATTGTAGCAAAAAAAAAATATGCATATATTCTGGAATATATAACTCGTTCAGTACATACACATTTTCAACGTGGTTAAAGAAATAAATATCTATGGTTCCAGTTTGGAATAGAAAGTATTTAAGCTCTACAAACGGTTACTTTTAGGTGGAATAGGAAAGGATGGAAAATGTGATCATGAGACAAAGATACTGCCTGTTAGAGTGGACTCCTATACCTGTCCAGTATTCTTGGACTCCATGAATGTGAGAAAGCTTCAGAGTTTAAAAAACTGACACCTTTCAAAGGCTGACAAACAAAATATATCTTCCCATAAATAAATCATTTCCTAGAATACAAGCTTATACTTATAACATGGATCTAAAGGGCTCGTTCATTTTTAAGTGACATGAATTGAAAGTCTCCTGGTCTTTATCTACCATAAGACTCCAGTTTCCAAAGGAATACATCATTTTTGCATTCAGGAAAGTCAATACTTATCCGTTTCTACAACCACTTAATGAAATATTTTAATTACTATTTGCAAAGAGTTAATGTGTACTTTATAAAAGTAGGCCAAGAACAGAATCCATCATCCATAAAAATGATATTCACAACAGAAGGGTCTTATCAAAAACGTTCAAGCATTTCATAAGTGAAACAACAGGAACAACACCAACAACAAAAACCTTTAAATGTTTCTTACACTTCTGAAAATCATTTTATAGAAGTGAAGAAACATCTAAGTTGCCATATCAATAATTAAACAGATGGCCAAGCAATCCAAACGCAATCAATAGAAAACCATTAAACTATTCCAAAAAGGTCCTACCTCTAATGAAGAATCGAGGTCTTCAAAGGGGTCAGCAAAGTCTGTCGGGCTTTTCCTCAGAGTCTGGTCAGCAGGCAGTGTGTTGTCATTGTAAGATGACACAAACTTAAAGTCACTGGTTCGAGACCCTGTCGTCAGGTAGGCGTCATAATTGTAAGCGCTGCGTAAAGTCCCTGTGCCGTCAACATCTGCGTAATTAGGAGGAAGATAAGCGCTGGGATGGCGACTGCTCCGTCAAACAACAGTCTGGGCTTTCTCCTGTGACAAAACCTCACACCCATGATGATGATGATGAAGGTCAAAAAAGGTGGACACACACACCAGCGCGATGATCAGATAAGAGGTCAGTTTGGAGTTCTTCTCATCATAAGAAATGTCCTTCAGTTCTGGCACCTCAGCCAAGTTATCAGAAATCAGTAAATACATGGAACAGGTGGCAGACAGAGAGGGCTGTCCGTTATCTTTCACTGACACAATAAGGTTCTGTTTCATGCTGTCAGACTCAGAAATGTCCCGCTGGGTCCTGATCTCTCCGCTGTGGACACCAATAGTGAAAAGTCCCGGATCAGTGGATTTCACTATATGATAGGACAGCCAGGCGTTCTGTCCGGAGTCCGCGTCCACCGCTATCACTTTGGACACCAGAGAGCCTCCGTGTGCAGCTTTGGGGACCAGCTCGGTCATGAAGGAGTTGCCCTCCGGGCGGGGTACAGTATCTGAGGAGAGTTGTCATTCACATCCGATATGAACACACTCACGGTCACGTTGCTGCTGAGTGGAGGAGAACCGTTGTCTCTGGCCATCACGTGCACTTTAAAGCTCCTGAACTGTTCATAATCAAACGACCTCACAGCGTGGATCACCCCCGTGTCTCCGTTCACTGACACATAGGAGGACACCGGGGCACCGTTCACCTCACCGGATAACAGAGAATAAACCACTGTACCGTTCTGTCTCCAGTCGGGGTCTCGAGCACTAACGGAACATAAAGTGGAGCCAGGTTTGTTATTTTCACTCACATATGCGCTGTACGACTGTTCCTCAAACACAGGTGGGTTGTCGTTGATGTCTGCTACAGATAACTGAACAGTTTTAGAGGAGGACAGAGGTGGAGAGCCCTCGTCAGTGGCAGTGATTGTAATGTTGTAATCAGACACTAGTTCACGGTCCAGTTGTCCTGTGCTCACCACAGAATAATAGTTTTTAATAGAAGGAACCAACTTAAAAGGGACATTCTGCTGAATGGAGCAGCGGACCTGTCTGTTAGTCTCAGAGTCTCTATCCTGCACGTTAATGATGCCCACCTCTGTACCAGGTGACACGTTCTCAGGTATGGGGTTAGTCAGTGATTTCAGGTATATCACTGGAGCATTGTCATTCACATCACTGACATCTATTATAACTTTAGCGT